CCAAACCAATGGGATTTAGTTGATTTCCCTTCTTCCACGGGGTCTAACCGGAAGGCTCCCTAACACCCATGTCTCTCAATGCATCGTCCCATGGAACCGCCGCCCTCTCATGCCCTCTGTTTTGCTCATGTGGCCGCTGTCGCATTTGCTGTCTGACTGGCCTGGGTCGGCTTGGGCTGGCCAAGCACTACAGTATCTTGTCTAGAGTTGCAGTAGGTCAAGGCTGGTGGCAAGCTAAACCCCCTAGAATTCCAACGCTAAAAGAAAAAACACCTAGACTCTTTTCGGCGTGTTTTCATATGGAAGGAATTTGCTCACCCCCCGCCCATAGATCGCAAGTTTGAATGTCCCGACTGTGGAAAGATGTTTGAATCTCTTCGTGCCATGGGAGCCCATGCCTTTCAGAAGCATCGAGCTGTTAATTTGGCCCAACGGTACACCAGCTCGAATGTCTGTCGGGCCTGTCTTCGCATTTATGACCATAGAGACTCCGTGTTGCATCACCTCAAGTATTTCCGCACAGGCTGTCTGCTTAAGTTAATCACCCTAGTCCCGCCCCTAGATAATGCACAGCTCCAAGCAGTCCAGCACGACGCTGCCAGCTCTCGATTGGTTACGAAACGACAGCACAGACGTAGCCGACATCGTTGGCCATCGAGTCAGGCCCAGGGCCCTTTGCGTCCTTGGCCGTGGACGGTTGCATATTCCCAAGCGAGTCGTGATCTCCGGCCTTGTGCCCCACTGGCCGTTGGTGACTTAGAGTTATGGATTGCACGCCTTCGCCCATCGCTTGAAGCCGCCGATATCTTCGGTGTTTTGGCCGGGTTGAACGACAGATCGTTTCATGGCATGTATGTCCAACAGCTGCTTGAAATTTTGTGTCCAGCCGATGGTTCCATCAACTGGTTCATTATTGATCAGCAACGATGTTTTCATGAGGCGCTCCTTTTGTGGCAAGACAATTCATTGTTGCTGCAATTGCTCACCCCATGGAATGTGACATATGCCTGTTTTCATGACCTGTTGCCGCATGTTCAGCTTTGGCCTACGGCCCCGGATGGACCAGCTGCTTCATCGTTCCCTACAGCCCAGGATGACTTGCTGGAGGATACTTGGATCGCTGCACGTATGGCCGAAATGGTGCAGCTGGAACGTCGGACCAAGTGGACCTGGCCGCAATTTGTGCCTCGACCTTTCTTTAGTTTCCGCATATTTTTATATGTTTTTTCGGGGCGAAGGAGACCAGGGGATTACCAGTCGCAGGTTGAACAGCTTTTAAAACAATATGACATGAGGGGACATGTTTTGATGCTTGACCTAGCTTTGAGTGACTCCCATGATGTCACTAAACCCGCTCTGGTTCAACAGCTTCTGCGGTGGATTGCGCAACGTGCTGTTGTGGCTTTGTTGATTGCCCCGCCCTGCGAAACTTGGAGTGAAGCGAGACACCTGCCGGGCGAAGTCCGCCCACTTCGGGACCACCTACATCCTTTTGGGTTGGAAGGTCTCGTGAAGGCTGAGCTCCAGCAGCTATGGATCTCTAGCTACCTCCTTTTTGTTTCGCTGCGACTGTTTATGGCTGCCACCATAGCTGGGACTGCAAGCATTTTGGAGCATCCGCGTGAGCCCAAGTTAGGTTCTCGCGCTTCCATTTGGAGATTGCCCTGGGTGATAGCATTGTTGCAACATCCTCATGTTCAGCGACACTTGGTGTGGCAAGCTAGGTTTGGCTCCCCGGCTGCAAAGCCGACCCATTTGATGGTTGCTCACATCCCTCGATTTACAGCGTTGTGCAAACCGTACCAGAACGCTGTTGACTGGCAGAACCTCACTGTCCTCTCCGGCAAAGATGCCACAACGGCCTGGAAAACCACCGCTGCGAAGGAATACCCACCAGCGTTGAATGGTGCTTTTGCCGCTTGTCATGTTTTGACTCTGCAGAATCAGATGCCTTCATGCTCGACCACTGAGGATGCTTTGTTGAGCGACATTGTTGTTGAGTTTGATCGGCTTGCCACTTACTCGAGTGAGACCGGCGAGATGCAGCCCGACTTCGCGAGACGACGTTACGATCTCGAAGAGATGGATTGAATTCAGGCATGTTTTTCACGCTTGCGGTCTTAGACCTCTGAAAGCCCAGAATGAAAAAAAAATGAATTTGCTCACTTAGTATAACTTCATTTGTGTTATCGGATTTGGGCTTCGTGTTGTTCGAAAAAAGGAAGAGCATGGGACAACGACCGTCACAGGTCGGTCACATCAGTTCCGGAAACACGACGCGTTGGGATGTTTTTTCCTCACTTACAGTAGATGTGACGAAACCCTCACTTAGACGCATGGATCCTTGGAATCTGTGCATGGTTTCTCGAGAAACACCGATAATGGCAGCATCCTTCAGGTTGGATAAAGCAAGCACATACTGCCTATATAGGAGTCTCTGCTTGTGCGGATCTACTCTCTCTGAAACATGTCTTTTGAAGTGGAAGGCCTCTGGAATGACCATGTTCCTCTACAAACGGGGGGGTTCCACTTCCATGTCTGCATTGCGTCCTCAAAAACGTCAATTGAACTGCTGTTTCAATAGTGGCGTGGTGCTTTTGACGAAGCGGTCCGACGAATTTCATCACAGCGGTCCTGGTTCTTATCACTTCGATCGGGTTTGGTGGTGTGAGACCCAAATTCGATGCTTCTTCCGCCAAACTATGATGGCCAATGATGGCTCAAATAGAAGTTTTTCTCTGAGCTGTCATCTTACTAGTGCTGATTGCAAATTTGTCTGAGTTGTGTTATGACTCTGTATGTATATGTATATGTGTTTATATACAGTATATATATATATATATGTGTGTGTGTCTGTGTGTGTGCCCACTAAACCGCATTAAAGTGTCACTGCAGGGTGGCGTAACTATAGATAGATACACGGTAGATCTATTCTCCCATTGGAAGTCTATCAATTACATGCTTCCTTTCAAACGAATGCGGAGAAAAAAACACTACCAGCACGAGTCAACTCACAAAGGCTCCAACTACCTCCTGAGAAGCTCTGTGAGGCGGGCAAGGAATGTCTCCCGCCGCCTTCTGAGTAGTGTCAGGTAGTGGGTGCTCTAAGGGAGTGCAAACAATACTAGCATCCCAGCTTCAAACCACCCTGGCCCACCCTGGCCATTGTCGTGCGCCAATCCCGCCTTGACAACTGGACACCCAAGTCTTGCAGGATCTCTCCAGTGTAGCGTGGGCCTCAGCTCTGGGCATGCTCCCGTAGATGTCTGAAACCATTGAGGCACGGCAAGGACACCTGGTTGAAAATTCAATTGGATGGTTGTACTATTAACATCCATTTTGGGTTTTGGTCTTAGCTCGATTACCCTTTCCTGTAGGCCAACATCTGCAAACTGCCCATGAGAGCTTCTGGACGATGACTCGGCCAAATCCCAAGAGTGTTCGGCCAGTTCTGGGAGGGCACCTTGAAATTCACTCTCACGTCAGAAGCTGCTAAATAGAGTGGCAGCTTTGGGGAGCCTCTGGTTGGGATGGAGCACATGGCGCCCAAAGAGTGGGCAGCCAGGGACCCGGTTGCTGCAAGCCCCCAGAGAAACGTCTCCCAAAACGCCACCTGGAGGAGTTGGTCTTCCTGAAAACACCATTTTAGGTAGACATGAAGGTAGACAGCGGCGAATCACATCCATTCCTAAACAGCATCCGACACGGAGTCCCGCATCAGATGTCAAGGTAATGGTTTTAAAAAAACGGCATTGTATACATGAATTATATAAGCTCTTGATCACTTGGTTCCACTGATGGGCTGGTCGCCACATTTCCTTCAGCTGTTTGGTCTTGCCCCCAAGAAGCAACTGCCAACGTGGAATGCGCTCCCACGGGACCACGGGTACCACGGGTCCCACGGGTCCCACGCGCCGGGCGAGCCCGGCCCAAGTAAGGGATGTTCCACCGATCCACCATGGTCTGCCACCTCGGACGGCAAGGGAAGCACATGATTTAAGTGCGATTTGGTGCGATTCACAAGGGGTGCAACCTTGCGTCAGCTTCTACACCTCTACCATCATGGATCCATTTGCAAAGGACTGCTACAGCTGCTAGCTGTAGCAGAATTATCCGCCGCAAACTGTCGTTCCAAATGATCTTCAAAAGGAAGTTCAACTGCCAGCTCGGCTCCACCTCATTTCATTGGAATCCATGTCCAGACTTCAGATCCATCTGCACACCGGGAGTGGCGAGTGTCCTGAGGACCGGGCGCCTCAAAGGAATTCGACGTCGCCAGGTTGCGGAGACCTGAGGTCGACCGGGGCTTCCCCGCTTATGTAGACAGTCAGGATCTTCCATCATGTAGACCTCTTTGACTAAGAACTTGAAAAACCTCTTCAAATGGGGGAGTTATGCATCAAGAGACCTCAAGTCCAACAAGCCATGCGTGTTGAAGAGATTTCACATTCGCCACGTTCGCCCAGTGACCTGGGTCGCCAGGCAGGTACATGTCACATCATGTCACCCTTCATCACGTGAAAAGCGCATGGGGACAACCACCGGGTCGTAGTTTAGTGCTTCGACTCTTGACCAGTGGCGCAGGAACATGGTTTTGGGGCCGTTTCCCTGAACCACATACAGTATATATAAATATGATTCCATAAATATATAATTATATATTTGCTATAGTGGAAGACACATAACATATTATATATATAGTGTTTTCCAGCTTAACATATTATACAGTATATATGTAGTATAGAGACCTCACCAGGAACCTCCCCCCAGCTGGGAACCTCGAACCAGCGGCCCCCCCACCGTCTGAGTCTCCCCTGCTGTCTTCGACAGGTCTCAACAAGCGCTCCTGGAACTTCACATCCTGAGCGGAGCTGTTTTCGGCCACCCGGCGACTTGGCACCAGAGCTCGAGCCTCAGCTAATTGGCCTTGCCTCTCTATTGCATGAGACTGGCATTGCATTGCGTTGGTTGCAGCGTAGTGTCAGGCATCTGATCTTTTTTCTCCGAGGTCGATCCGTATGCTCAGCCACGACAGCCAAGACAAAAAGCTACAAAAAATAAACGAGATTTATTTGTGAGACCTGCATGAAGCTTTGTAGCAAAAATGGCCCAAGGCTAAAATGCACCAAAGGCATCCAAAAACTGCAGTCGCATACCAGTTCTTGTCAAGGGGTAGAAAGCCCTGGCAAAGAACGTAGGTTGCCCCTGTGACACCTTACTTGCGCAAACAACTTGAATCATATGTCAGGTTGATGCTGCAGAAAATTGATTCAAGCCAGAACAAAACACATCTAGAGTTTGGTTGCCCCTCTATCCAGTAAGAGCCACTGTTCATGAAGATATGTGTATACATGCATTCATACATGTGCATATATACATACACAAAAATGTACCAGTAATAATATGTAATGATACATGTGTTATATGTATTATGTTATTGTGTTAATATATACGCATAAAATCATAAGCCAAAGGAAACAACAATAGTCGTAATTGTAATGCTTGCACCATCTAACTGACAAAACACTCCCCTGAAGCATCTCCCACTGTGTGACCCGCGATGGATGATGTTAGATGCGAACAGGATCAGCCGTTTTTTCGGGATGCGGACAAAGACACTGAAGAGAGCGGAGCCCAAGAGCACTAAGCTGATGTTCGTGAGGATCTCCCAACAGGTTGAGGTGGCCTTCTGGCTGTAGCGACAGGCCAAGGAGGTGATGCAATCCACGAAAATGGGACTACAACAGAACCAAATCACCAATCCCTCGATGATCAGTGGAAGAGCTTCCTCATATTCACCCATCAGTGCATAGGAGGCGGCAAAGTCGAAAAAGGCCCAAAGAATTGGAATATGCACCGCCAGGATCCACTGTCTAGTGAAGACTTGATCTTGCAATCTGCTAGTGACGACCTCCAAAACCTCAGATCTGATGCAATCTTCAAAGCCCTCTGTGCTGCCGAACCAAATGCAAACACATTCCTGAGATGTTGGAAAGTCAAGCGCGAACTTGTTGAACAAAAATCAACATATCAGTGCAAAATGAACATCTCAAGAAGAATCAAGTTGATTTTGCGCAATCAAACAAGGGGTGCTTTCCACTGCTACATTGACATCTTCAAAGGTTGGTATTTCCAGTATATCCGTCTAATTCAAATCCCTTCCAAGAGAAGAAATGCACCGGGGAGGAACACATCTTAACGCCTCAAAAAAGAGCAATGTCTGCAATCGCAAGCTTCCTTGACAATCTCCCGATCACACAAAACAGGAGCTTGGTCGATGATATGGTCGACATCACAACATGCACATCTGCAGTGATCGAAGCTGATGTTCTGCAACCTGACTTGACGGCACCGCACCCACCGCACAACTCCATGGGTCTTTGAATGACCAGCGGGCAGCCAAAGGGCGGCCAACCCAAAAGAAACTGCAAATGTCTTCCTATACCGACTCTCCAAGACTGAACACACAACCGTTGAAATTCCAGTTACTTACGTTAGTGATACCCGTGGATCACCTAAGACCCACGGGGACCCACTGAGTTGCTATGAGCCACCTCTCCTTGAGGGCCTCGAGCGAGCGAAAATAGGCGCGCAGGACGGCGAAGACGAAGCAGCCACCTGATCAGATGGACAAAAAGGTCCAAAGTGAGCATAAAATACCACACACACACACACACGGTACACTTTTCGATCTCCGGCGATTTTACGATTTGGCGATTGGACGATGGGCTGATCAAAAAAACAACGGAACACCAAAAACCGCATGATATCTCCTGATCAATATAGAGTGGGTTCGGGAATTTCGGAAATACGCCACAGGAACTCAGGGAAAAACTAAGAAGATCGATCTAAGTTTAAACAATGAGAAAAGAAGACTCCACGCTCCAGGTCACTGATAAGAAGGAAAAGAACCACTCCCAAGGCAGGGACGACTAAGCCGAAAGAACCTCCAGCGAAGGAAATGGTGGTCGCTGGCAACATCACCTTACACAGTTGACAAGTAGCTGTTCAATTGGAAAAGTCGGTTCAGTTCATCATCTTTTCGACGTGTAAGTCTAGTAGACCCTGATTAGATCTTAAGAATCGTTACCCATATTGGGTGAGTGCTTTTTCTCCATGATCTTGGCTTTCCAAGTGACGGCTGGTACTTCACTGAGGGTCCAGTAAAAAATAACCGTTGAAACGTTGTGCACCAAATAGAACTCAAAGGTGTGAGTGTGTGTAAGCATTGAAATCAAGGTTGCTTTTAGATTTTAGACGTGCACACGCAGGGGTAACAGGGACCGTGCAAGTGGTATTGCGCTAACGGCATCAATTCGGGAGGCCGAGTTGACGTACCTGCAAGAAGACATGATGACCGTTCAATTTCCTACTGGGTCCAATACATTGGACGGCCACGCGCCGCTGCATAAAACAAACATGGTGAATTCAGGCCATTTGTTCACTCAGGCCTTCTCGCAAGGAGGCGCATTCTGTACATACTAAGATGTCAAATGTGTGTGTGTGTGTGACACCCTTGGGTTCACAGGGGGCCTTTTGGTCCTATAAGCAGGGGGCCATCCCCCTCACCATTGGTGGATGGCCAACGAAGAGGCCGATGGTGAGAGCTGTAAGCGTACCCGCACTTTTCAGTCTTTTAAATGTCAAGTCTGTCAGACCTGGAGATGTGACGTTTTCGTTGGATTGAACGCCGGCACTCGACGTGAGCTTTCTTGTCCAAGTGTTTGCGAATCTCAAGTGGGTCCTTGATGCTATGTCGTGCCTTGAAATGGGTAATCAATTGTGGATTTGTCAGTGTACTCTTGCCTTGTTTTACTTGTACTCAAGATGACTGTACTGATCAACGACAGGCTGAACCTGCGGAAGCTGAGCTAAATAGCGATGGCCTCCAACTTACTAGCGATGGCCTCCAACCTACTCTTCCCGTTTTACTCAGGCCATTGTTTCAACTAGGTTGCCGTGTGGCGGCATTGTGGCATGAGGCATTCATTTCCGTACGCATTTCCCAAGTGTGTGTGTGTGTGGATTGGCCAGCCAGGTCACGAAAGACACGCAAAAGAAATTGATCAGCGAGCATGGACCGAGGATCGTGGGTTGGACGAGTAGCACTTGATTCTTTTGGGCCTGCTTACTCTTCAAGAAGGCAGCAAGTTCGAACAAACACCAAAGGCGATCGCACCAGGATGGATCCCAAAGCACCATCAGTCTCTGTGACCTCTTCAAGATTCCACCTGAACCAGGTGGTTTCGAAAAATGAAACCAGTGGGATCAATCACCCAAAGATATCCAAATTGGATATATAGTGGATCACACATAGATGGCATACGACTCACGCTTAGATGGTCTTTTAATAGGTGTTGACCGTATACCATCTATGTGTGATCCACTATATGGTAAAAAACAAACATGTCCAAAACCACCGCCTAGCCACCTAAGCTCAGAATGCTGGCTTTCTTCTGCTCCGCGTCGCTGTTGTTGATGCAAATCCGGTCCAGGAAGATGAGCTGCTGCGGGCGCCAAAGGACTAAGACGAAGACCGCAGCAGTGAAGCCACTTGCCAGTGACCAGGTTGACCACTGCATGTCCGGAGCCTCTGGAAAGCGCACCATACCAGGTAGAAGCCCCAAGCTGAAGCAAACCGTGGCAACCAAAGCGAAGAGGGAACCAAACCTCAGCAAAAGGGACCTGACGACAAAGAAGTTGAGCAAACATTTTCTGGCCTTCTCCTAGCCAAACAAGATCATCAAATGGGCTCTATCAAGGTGGAATTGCACTGGCATTTGGCAGGACAAGTTTTCCAGTAGATTCGGCGTAGAGATTGACCTGAAAAATACTTTATGACAAGAGATGGTTCAAGTTTCATGGTTCCCCATGTCATGGGATGGATGGGATGGATGAGGAGGCATTTCCCAGTGTCCGGTGTCCCATTCCCAATCAACCAAGCACACAAGAACTGGGACAGGGACCGTTGAGATTGAAATTGGATGCTTTTCGACTTCAACCATTTTCATATACATGGACCCTGGAGGGGATCCAGCCAAAGGATCACCTCCCTAAAACCGAATCCCGAGATGGAGAACTCCCTTGGGAGGAGGGCCGCTTGTGGAGCACTAGGAAGCAGTTGGCTGAGGAGCAGAACTGCTGCCTGCCCATTGTAGTGAATCAAAAGCGTCATGACCTTCATCCAATGTCCACCATGCCATGAATGTGACCAAAAGCATGTGATCTCCTCGGTCATGAAACCTCAGCGTGGCGGCGGTTGAAGATAAACGTGTGACTGTTGAAAATCCTTCCTAATTGATGAAGACAACCAAGAACCTATTTAAGTCCATTTAAACACCGACAAGCATATGATGTTCTAAGGGTCAACTTCCCTTAGACAAGACAATCGACCATGGTCATAAAAAAAAAGTAGTTGACTGTCCAATAGGAAAACAAATCAAGTATCTCCATGGAATCCTGGATATCCCAGTGATTATATATATATAGGGGATGTATTTTCGAATGGTGAGGGAATTGGTCGAAGAAACCACCTGGTTTCCAAACTTCTTCCCAACAACTTTGGCCATCTGTCCAGGCCTTCTTTGTTCAAGGATTCATGCTTCAAGTCCCATCGTCACTCGATAAAGGACATATTGAACCACCGGAAGCGGTCAACTTCACAGCTCCAGTGAGAAAAAATGGGCGAGGGTATGTATGTTTCCGTGAGGCGTCTACTCCACTTACAGTGTCTTCAGAGCAAATGGCACACAAGTTTAGTGGTTAATATGGACCCCCATCTTTTCAGGACATCTTGGGGTGCTGCCATCGAACCTCTGAAACCACTGTAACACCCGCTTCCTTGACCCGTTTTTTGGTCACGTTCCGAGACACTCTTGCTGTAGAAGTTCCCCCCAAAGTCGGGACGTAGTGCTTCTGCCGTGTTTTGGAAGGCTTGATGTGCCCGCGTGGCACGCAGGACTTCGGCCATGCAAATGTCCATGCGCGCAACTTTCTCTGCGACCTGTGGACGGCTCAAATGAGCGACATGGCACATGGCCTGGCCTCCAACCTAATAGCCATGGCCTCCAACCTTAATAGCAATGGCCTCGAACTTATAGTAATTATATACAGTCTTAACGGGTGTTATATTGGTCCAATAAGGCCTCACCTTTTGTCCGTATACCGAGTCAAAGTTCCATACCTTGGAAGCCATCCTGCACCACCCAATTGCTTCAAAACGAGGACTCCCCTACCCCAAATGGTGCTAAAATCATCTTCAACATCATGCCATGCACACCAAAGCAAACAAATATATGATTGCACATGAATTAGGAGGGGGACTGGGGAGAAGGTTGTTGTTAAAAAGCCGAACAAATAGAGCTCAATAATCAAGGTCGTGATAGCTGGCGTGAGCAAGAAAGGCTCAGGTTCCCTTCCGCCTTGGTCTGCTTGGCTTCTCGCAGCCTGTCGGCTTCTCCCTGCGTGTTCTCGGTGTCCTGGTTTCCACTCTGGTTTCCTTCCCCGGAACGATGACTCTCATCCATGGCTTTGTCCGGCAGTCTTCGCCGAAGAAGAGCGACGAAAAGCCGAGGTGTTCCACGGTGGTGAAAGCCAGCCGTTGGGGGGGGCTTGACAGCAAAAATGCACGGACGAGCGCGACGGCGTACGTTACTGTAACAGGGCCCCCAACCAACCAAAAATTAAAAACACACATAAAAACACCTGGCAGGTGATTATTACCTATAAGATCCTATGTGTTTCAAGAGTGACTCCTCTGCGGAACCAAAACCTTGAACACCATCTGTTTTTGATCACCCAAAAAAGCATCCGAAGACCATCTGGGCATACCTCAGCATACCCTGCACATGGGTGTTTTGGTCCTCATCTTCACCATTTTTGCCCGACATTGTTTGGAGATGGGATATGGGAATTGCTTTTCACCTGGAGCCCATGTCCACCATGATCGTCCGCAAGTGGAAGCGTCGTGCGACCCGGTCGGTTTGTGAACTTCTACCCCCCCAACAGCAACTAACTAGACTCCCTGATTGATGCAAGGGGGGGCCATGTTCGTCCATTTTCCATTTCGGTTTACTTCAGGGAGTGTCACACAAAGCCTGAGAATTGACCGGTGGACATGGTCTATTTCGCAACACCCACCCTGGTCCTCTGCAGTATCATTGCAAATCAGTTGTGGATCAGTTCTATATTCTTATTGACCAGCGTTATGTTGACTCCTCATGGACACATACTGGCTGGTGGAGGGCTATTTTACGGATTTATGTTTCTCGGGATGTGAATGGGTGCCAACCGGTGCGTTTGTTCTGGATCCCGTCACACATCGGGGATGACATCCCCGAATTTCTTATTTCTTCAGCTTTTGCTGCTGATCACGGAACAACAGTACAGAACATCATATGTAACCGCAAGGCTGATCAAGCAGCCAAGCGGATCGCGGCTGCCTCTCTTCCTATAGAGGTTCAGATGTTTTCACAGATGCAACAGGCTGTCTTTGCACGACAGTACTTTTTAGCTCGATTAAACGAGTTATCTACTCCGGAGGTTCCCGGAACGGTAGTTGTTGATGAGATTCCAGCTTGCGAGGGCAATATTTCCCTTCAACGGAAGTTTGGACGATGGGATTGGAATCAGAATATTGCTGACTTTCCATGGCGCTTTGTGCATGTCTTAGACACGTCAGGCCCGTGGTTTTCCCAGCACTCCTCTTCTGACATCAAGACCTTTGTTGGTTTTGCTAGAGCTCTGGCTTGGAAAGTTGGTGAAGCCTTTTGCACTTCCTACATGGAGCTTGCATTTTTATTTCAGAAACGTGGATATATACACTCTTGAAGCATGTTGTGGCGATGATATTACTTTTCGGGATCTATCCTTTTGGCTGCGCAGGATTTTTGTGCACATTGGCAAAATTCCTGACCACCAGGTGTTTCCCGGTTACACTTGTTTGCAAACAAGGAAATCGGAAGGCCGATCGTTCCCTCAAGGTGCGATTGTCGGCGCTGTTCCGTTTTTCGCTCCTGAAGAAATTCGTGGTTTGGCTCAGATGATGGACGCTGGCTGTTCGAAGTTGCTCTCCTCTTGGGAGACTCCGTTGAATGGATCTGGATGATTTCTCGTGTGTCGGTGGTTCGGTTTGGTTCACTTTTCGATGTACAAATTCCGCTGTGAGACCATGAGTGTCCGCAGTGATGCGCGTCTTGTCCTAACAGGGGACTTATGCAGGACAGACCGCAATGGGAGGTGATGCAGGGGTTTTATTGGTGACGATGAGAAAAATACGTTTAACAAAAATAAGGTTTCACTGAATCGAAAACACCCAAAATACAAAAGAAAAGTTCACAGTTTGATACCTGGGGTGTTTTTGTGTGTTTTGTCTCTTGGCTGTTCAATCTAAAGGACCCTAAACGGGATGCACCAGCAACATGCGGCCTACATTCGAAAGCCGCATGCGGCAGCACCAGCAACATCCAGCACTGCTTTGGCTTTCGATGGATTCCAAGAAGTGCCTTCCCATGTCCATCGCTTCTGGTCCGGAAGCCTCTCGTGCCTGGTCCCTTGCGGGGAGCCAACTCCCGTGGTCGCTCCGAGTTCAGCTCCCTGAACTCAATGGAGAAGATGGAGAAGAATCAGAAGAATAGAAGGAAATACACAGACACTCCATGGGGCTGGGAGATGGAACCAATGGCTTAGCTTCTGAGCCGTCGCTCCCTTGCACCAGCTGGGCACCCCCGACAAACGCCTCACGTGCCGCTTCGGCCACCCTGGCCGATCGGGCCACGTTGGCCACGTCGAACCAGAACATACCCACCTTGAAGCGGCGGGGCGTGGTGGTGGTGCGTGGAAAACATTATATTCAAGCAATTTTACACTGGTTTCAGAGTCAATGGCACAACCCCCAAGATGTTTCCATATAGGGGTCCATATAAAACACCTTTTGGGGGTTGCGCCATCTACTCTGAAACCAGTGTATATGTTCAAGTTTTAGGTGGTTCCTTAACTTTGCATCCAACAATCATATCATATTATGCAAGTGTATGGCAAGGGCAGTAGTCAGTAGTCCTTGCAAAGGACCATTCTGCCATGTCCAATGAAAATCATCACCCACGCTTTGAAGCTTTCATGCGTAAGAACATGCTCGTGTACAGAGTGTTATGGACCCTAAACCGCAAACAAGAGTCACACAGCCTGGAAGCTAAATGGAAACTGATAAAACATCACATCTGCATAAATGTGGGGATATGTGGGGTCACCCAGCCACAAGAATTGCGTACCACCCCGGTGGCGTTTCTACAAAATGACCACTCTGCATGCTCAGGCAGCAAGCAAGAACGTCTCTGGGCACCCCACATCTCCTTCCAAGTCCAGCTCCTGTAGAAAGAGGCAATTAAAGCCAATGCATTAAAGAAGCAATTAAAACAATGACAGTGACATGTCCCTTTGGTTAAACATGTCACTTCTCCACATGGCCAATGGACATCGGGGCAGCGACATGTCCAACTCAATGGCCTCCATGCCTGACATGTCTCGGACCCGGAGCGCCGGAGCACCTGGCCGAAGTGCAGCAGTGCCTTCTCGAGGAATCCGGAGGACCTCGAAGGCAACGTCTCCCACCGCGAGGGCCCAAGCCAAGCAGGAATTCTTCCTCAAGATGGAGTTTTGGGCATGCTATGAAACGATCAAATTAAACCATATTTTTGGGAGGGTCTTGAAGACTGGACGTATTTTTGGTGAGGGTCTTGAGATGGACGCGGTGCTTCAGCGTCCCTGCGAACAAATCATATACGGAAACATCATCAGAGTCGTGACAAAGCATCAATGAAGCTGAATACTTCACCTTCGCATCTTGTTTTTCATGACCTGTCAGCTGAAACGTAGCTTCGCAGCTTCAAGTCCCCCAAACATCTGAGTGAATTAAATTAGTTTCATTAATTTCGTTCACCTCGTACCTCGTCTTAATTTCATGTTTTGAAATTATTCACCTCGCCTCGTTTAATTTCAATAATTTCATTCACCTCGTCTGCATTTGTTGGGGGGGGGCTGAATGCCTGCCATGGCTTCCTGCACATCCAAACTGGTAGTCGGGCCTATTTCTTGACAATAGGTTGTTTTTTGTCTTTGGGATTCTTGGGGCTCTCTGCCCTGCATGGGTGGAAGAATCCCTGTAGCTCCTGGAAACTACACCCAGCAGTGGCCTCTACAAGCCCCAATCCCTTCAAGCATGCCTTCAAGCATGCTTGGGAAAAATCAGGCCTATTTCTTGGAAATAGGTTGTTTTTTTGTTTTTGGTATTCTTGAGGCTTCTGTGTGGCATGGTGGGTGGATCCCCTGTAGCTCCTGGAAACTACACCCAACAGTGGCCTCCACAAGCCCCAATTCCTTCAAGCATGCTTGGGTCAAAATCGGCCCTATTTCTTAAAAATAGGTTGTTTTTTGTTTTTGGTATTTCTTGGGGCTTCTGTGTGCCATGGTGAGTGCATCCCGTGTAGATCCTGGAAACTACACCCAACAGTGGCCTCTACAAGCCCCAATTCCTTCAAGCATGCTTGGGTCAAAATCGGGCCTATTTCTCAAACATATGTGTTTTTTTGTTTTTGGTATTCTTGGGGCTTCTGTGTGCCGTGGTGAGTGGATCCCCTGTAGCTCCTGGAAACTACACCCAACAGTGGGCTCTACAAGCACCAATTCCTTCAAGCATGCTTGGGACAAAAATCGGGCCTATTTCTTAAAAATATGTTGTTTTTTGTGTTTGGTATTCTTGGGGCTTCTGTGTGGCATGGTGAGTGGATCCCCTGTAGCTCCTGGAAACTACACCCAACAGTGGCCTCTACAAGCCCCAGTCCCTTCAAGCATGCTTGGAACAAAAACCGGGCCTATTTCTTAAAAATTGGTTTTTGGTATTCTTGGGGCTTCTGTGTGGCGTGGTGAGTGGAGCCCCTGTAGCTCCTGGAAACTACACCCAGCAGTGGCCTCTACAAGGCCCAGTCCCTTCAAGCATGCTTGGGACAAAAATCGGGCCTATTTCTAAAAAATATGTTGTTTTTTTGTTTTTTGGGGCTTCTGTGTGGCGTGGTGAGTGGATCCCCTGTAGCTCCTGGAAGCTGCGCCCAGCAGTGGCCTCTACAAGCCCCACTCCCTTCAACGCATGCTTGGGACAAAAATCGGGCCTATTTCTTAAAAATAGGTTGTTTTTTTTGTTTTTGGTCTTCTTGGGGCTTCTCTGCATGGTCTTCTTGTCTGTGTGGTTTGGGTATTGTCTTCATCAGAAGTGTCCGTTTAGCCCGGTCGGTAACCACGCGCGTCGGAATCGAAAGGTCGTCTATTCAAATCCCGCTATGATATTCTGTTGTTTTTGGCGCTTCTGTGTGGCGTGGTGAGTGGATCCCCTGTGGCTCCTGGAAACTACACCCGACAGTGGGCTCTACAAGCCCCAATTCCTTCAAGCATGCTTGGGACAAAAATCGGGCCTATTTCTTAAAAATAGGTTGTTTTTTTGTTTTTGGTCTTCTTGGGGCTTCCGTGTGGCGTGGTGAGTGGATCCCCTGTAGCTCCTGGAAACTACACCCAACAGTGGGCTCTACAAGCATGCTTGGGACAAAAATCGGGCCTA